GCTGATGAACTCGGTATAGTTTTCGACACTGAACGAGGTGACCACAACTCTGTCACCGAGTTGGAACCTGTTCAGCAAAAACCTAAGATGAAAGCCGCAGAGATCACCTTACTACTGCGGAAACACAAGGATAAGCCAATGCATGGGGTCTTCTATAATAACATCGGAGACCTTGGCTTATCAAAGCGCCTGACGTTTGCTTTTCACAGGTCGAATGGGCTGAAGTCGAAAACTGAGGGGTTCATCATTGCTTGCCAGAATGGTGTCTTCAACACCTTAGTCTACCGCAGTCGCGTGATGGGTATAGAGGTTCCTGACACAAGGTGCAGGACCTGCCGCTAGGCGCATGAAACCCAAATGCACTAGCTATCAGCATGTCCAGCATATGCGGTCTCGGCCTATATCCATCGACATAACGCGGCCCGAAGAGTGCTATACTACCATCTACGGCACTCTTACGGTATTGACGAGACTCCGGTGTTGCCCTAAGCTCCGGGGGATATTGAATCCATTGTGGGGAACGAGTTGTGCCGAATTTATTGGAACTATTCGTTCTCCACCCTCAGGCTCATACAAGCTAATAAGCCTGATGTAGTCCTTCTCGACCACCAGAGCAAAACGATATTTCTCGTGGAGTTTTCAGCTCCTGGCGATACGAATTTTGTCAGAAAAGAGGAGGAAAAACGAATAAAATATCGAGATTTTTTCTTCGAATTCGGCAGACTATGATGTTCTCTCTACTCTCGAATCTTAAAATCATACCGGCTTGCCGCACTAAGGCAGAAATCTTTGCCGCACAGATGCAGAAGGCTGTCATTCTTGGCTCACTGCGCTTGCTCAGAGCACATGATTCTCGGGCCCAATGATCACTTACCCCACGGTGTGAGGAGTGATCATTGGTTGATAATGCTGGCGCGCCCTCCCGAATGTATCGGGGCTTCGGGGGATAGGGCCTGACCAGCGCACACTACGGTGAAAAAAAATCGACTTTATTCAGTATTTAATATTACATAATAGGCGAAATTTAGCTATTAGCTACTCTTATACTTAACCTACTATGCACTATAAGAAAAAAAATTAAAAATAACTGGACCAAATAAAAATAGATTGTGTGATGAAACAAATTGTTAGGAGTATACAACAAGATCATAGTTCAATGTATACATTTAATTCTTCTGATCACATATTGAATTTTGCTTTTAGTTTCTTTTCGAATGTGGATTCCGAGAATTGCATGAGATCCTTAGTAATCGTATTGTGAAAAAATACAGCAGGAAAGAAAAATGATTTTCTGAACATGGCTGACGAATGACGAGGGATGTGTAAGTTTTCGTTAGTTCGAAGGTTGAAAGGATGGAGCTCTAACCTCTTTGTCAATTTATTTAATAGAGAAACAGGTATTTTAGATTTTAGTACTGAATAGGTGATATTGCAGTAGTTATATTCCCTGAGAACGGACATTGATACTCAACCAAGGGTGGCACGAGTTTGGGAAATATGTTCAAATTTATGTATTCCCAAAATGAAGCGAACACAAGAATTTTGCCCACGTTGTATTTTGTATTGCCTAGCAGAATCCAAGAAGGGACCATATACAGGGTCTCCATAGTTGATTTTCGAAAGGATAAGCGATTGTGAAAGTAGCTGTCTATATGGATAAATAACTTTGAGAGTAGCATATGATTTGATGATAAGCTGTTTTACATGTGCGTTGAATTTAAAATCTTGATCGAAAGTGATTCCCAAGTTTTTGCAGAGTCAACCGATTTGAGTATTTGGTCACCTATCTTGAGTTCCATATGATCTTTAGCATATTGTCTTTGGTGTATGTTGCCGAAGAACATGATATGGCATTTGCTAGGATGCAGCTTCAAATTGTGTTTGCCCGACAGAGTTTTTATGACCTCAAGGTCATCATTTATTTGATTTTGGGATACTGAGATGTTATTAGGTTCGATACCATGGTATAACTGGGTGTCATCTGCAAAGGCTTGTACCTGACAATGCTTAACCCTGCACGAGTCGCATCTATTTCTCAGACATGAGAGGTCACTGTGGAGTGACACTCCGCACTACAATATAAAAGAATAATACAAAGAATAATAGTTTACTCTTATTTCAATGTTTAATTCAATTTATCTATTAAACATAACATAAACAAAACACATAACATAAAAATATTTGATGATATATGCACTAAACATAAAAATATTTGACACAGTAATAATGTTCAATTTCCCCAATGAAAAGTTGTATGTCTGAATTCTTCGCTTGTCTCTTGGCTATATGAATCATCATCCGAGATTTCTTGCTCTGTGTCAGTATCTAAAACTTCAGTATTTTCGACGTCATCTTTGTTTTCATCTTCGTCACCTTCAAATCCATCTGGATTTGATTCTGAATTTAAACATTCTTTCATCAGACGCTGGAGACGTAGCTGTTCTTTTTCGTAATCCATGATACCTAAAACCGTATACTGTGTTTAATTTTGTAGAGTTACAGCTGTAACAATTTACACGGATTTCTTAGAAATGCTTATTCGGCAAAATAACCTGAATACCATGTCTTGAGCAAAAAAACGAAAATAGTACACATGCCTCTACTTAAGTTTGGATTATATATATAATATTGATATAATCATTAGATAAACAAATGATGTACTTACGATATAATCTAATGAGTTATTCCACAAAAAAAAACACGTAAACGCTCGCTACGGATTGTCACTCCGCATTTCCTAATATCTTGGACTGACTTCAACTCACCAAGAAAATGGTAATGACTAGTTAATTTACATGCTATTGGCGAAAGGTACTGAAGCGCGGACGGCCGAAGGAATCGTAATGACTGAATTATCACGATTACCAGGTACCTGCGGAGTGAGACTCCGCGCGCGACCTCTGTAGGGTTAATTTGAGAAAAAATATCTGCAGTGTATAACAAACATAGGATAGGACCAAGAATTGAGCCTTGAGGTACTCCGTATCTAACACTTTCAAGGAATTAACTTCTATCATCAACAAGTACCTTTTGATATCTGTTGTTCAAATGATAACTGAAAAATGTTATGACATCAACTGAACATCCATAGTATTGTCGCAACTCAGTTCTCGCTTGGCTATTAACGCTCGCTTGGCTATTATTCATCCCAAATAATGAAAGAACTCATTTACAACTTAATAAAATATTTATTGTGAAAGAAACGGAAAAATACTTTAAATAAACTCACACTCAATGTTAATAAAAAAAATACATTAAAATAATCAAAAAAATTTACATTACACTGCCACCCAGCAGGATTGAAGAAAAGGAGATGTGCTGCATTTCTGATGACCCAATCGATACGTAAATGAATACTGTCTGTTGACTGTTAACTGTTAACTCTGAANGCCTTGTGGTACACCAGTTGTTACTTTTAATCGGTTAGATTTCACTTTGTCTACAACCACTATCTGTGACCTATCCTTTAAATAGGATTCTATCCAAGTGTTGGCCACTCCTCGAATACCTATCCTATAAAGTTTCTCTATTAATAATCTGTGATCTATAGTATCAAAAGCCCTACTAAGGTCATAATAAACGGCTATTGGATTTTGTTTTTCATTCAAGCAGTAATAAATATGGTTACATAATTCTTTTATAGCAGTTTCTGTAGATTTTTTATGCCTGAAGCCATGCTGACAATTTAGAATAAGATTATTTTGTTCTATAAAATTGCTTAACCGTGTATTGTAACTGCTTTCGAGGACTTTCGCGAATTGAGATTGTATACACACGTTTCTATAACTTCCGACGTCATTTCTAGATCCCTTACCCTTAAATATTGGCACAGACTTTGAGGTTTTGAGAACTTCTGGATATTTTCCTTTTTCATAGGATTTATTAATTATGAAAGATAGTGCATTACATATTATATCACTGACAAATTTAAGAGTAACCCCAGAAATATCATCAATTCCTGCAGAAGGTTTCTTAGTTGTTTTTTTTATAATGTCTTCGATTTCAGGTGGACTTGTCGGATACAGAAACATTGTGTTATAAGAAAAGGGGGAGAATTTATGGTTGTTCAGATCTGGTTTTGTATTTACCACATTCATGAAAAACTCATTGAAGTAATTACCTATTTTGAATTTATCATTTTCAAGTTTATCTTCTATATTTATTTGCAATGGTGTAACAGATATTGTGTTGTCTTTTGCTTCATTAATTATTTGTCAGCTTTCTTTAGATATATTACTGATATAGATATATTATATATTCCATTCCAACAACTTACTGTTTTCAACTACATTCCAAGCACTTCTCAAATATAATGTTCATTTGTATATTAGAAGGAATTATTGAAAACATAGCAATCGATTCTAAACAAATCAAAATTCTGTATGCAACACTTCATGTTGAGGTTAGTTTAGGTTACTTCCAAAGTGAGTGGGTCTATTCGACCCTCCACCGCAACCCGCAAGGATTTACTGTGCCGCACACCTATTCACACTCGACCAAATAAAGTCAGCTTTTCAACGGAGCCGATTAGTTTGTATGGTGAGTGGTCTTTCTGCCGAACTCTAAAACTGTCGCATATGATGATTCAGATAGAATTATAGATTATACAATTCAAGAATAATGACAGTGACCTGTAAGAAGGCCTGTAAGTTCATCCCTACTGTAGTCCAACAACTGTTTGGTATCAAGATTCGAAAGCTTAATAAACTCCTTGGAGTTAGCCAATCCTGGAAGATTCTGCCAGGAGACCATAAATATTCTTACTATCCAGGTGTTTAACCTTTGTTTGGCAAAGCATAAAGCGATGCCAATGACAGCTAAAAAAATACAGAATTTTTGCTATTACACTTTTTGGGATACTGTGACTGAACACTTCAGTTTGATGTTTTGACCAATGTTATCACTTTTATTCAAAACTTTTTTATTTTTCCGCTAACGATGCCCTGTTTGGACCAACTTGTATAATTTCTCATCATTATCGCTCTCCGAAAAAGTATATATATGGTATGGTAATGGTAATAGTATATTTCAACAAATTACATAATATTCCATTTATTTATTATCTGCTAGTTGAGAAAAATGTAAATTGAATATGTTGTGTGGCAACATCGATAGGAGCATCCACGAGTCATCTGAAACTCATAACTTTGGTAATCCAGCTACTATAGCCTGTTCGAAATAACATTCATTTGTCCCTCTGATTATCTTGAATAAACCATTGTCACCCCAGTCTTCATTCCAGGAGTTTGCGACCAACCAGTAAGGTGTACCGTTTTCAACTCCCCATCCCAAGACTCTCACGGCATGTCCACCTTCGTATTGGCCAGCAACATATTGGTAGACACCTAGAAATCAAAATAAGCATTGGTGATGATAATATTACCTGTATTCATCAAAACGGCGCATTACAACACTGATGTTGAGAATGTTCGTACCACTTATGAATCTAGACATCTCATTATGAATATCGCGTTTCATTTTTTCAAAGAAACCACAAAAAAATAGTTTTAGTTAATGTACATCTTTTTGAATTCATTTCCTTTGGATGGAATTAAAAATAATCAGAATTGTATATAATAACCAGGTAGGATGGACTACACCCTACCAAAAGCATTCCGACCAATTAGTCTCACATCGTTTTCCTTAAAAACCATGGAGAGGCTATGTGAGCGGTACATAAGAAATGAAGTACTAGTTCACAACTCACTTCATTCAAATCAGCATGCATATACTCCGGGATGGTCTACTGATTCTGCCCTCCACCATGTGGTTGGCAGAATCGAGAGATCATTGGTCAATTAAAAATTCACCCTGGGTATATTCACAGATATTGAGGGAGTGTTTGATAGAACAACCTTTTCAACAATTACCCAGCAACTACACTCCAGAATAGTACCCCTGGAAGTAGGAGAATGGATACCTAAGAATTAAGTGGGGAATGGTAAGAAATACCAGCGTGGTCCAAATACAACTGGCTGGTATCTCAATCGCCACAAAAGAATTAACCAAGAAAGGAATTTCTAGCAAAAACATAACTGCAGTGACAGCAGACAAGCCCTATTAGCCTTGAACAGACAACGTATAACCTCAGGGCTAGTACTAGAGTGTCACCAAGATTTAGCCAAAGCCTCGGTAGATAATAACATTAACCGACATTAAAGGGCACGACAGGAGTAACTGTAATCGCATTGCCGACTTTTCAGCCAAGTAAGCGGCTGGACTAGGAATTTCAGGACCCAGCAGCACCTACGGCCTGATGACTTCGACAATTGCGGAACTAGTCAAGTGTTACACCCATGATCAATCCTTAAAGAGATGGGACGAAACCAAAGGATGTAATCTTGCCAGGATCACCTTGGGTGACCCTGGGAAGCTGGCGCCGAAGAAATATTTGGCAATGACCAGGAAAAATCTACGCCTAACAGTAGGATTTCTGACTGGTCACTGTCAACTAGGGAAACACCTCCATAATATGGGGCTGGTGGACACACCTCTATGCAGGATGTGTGAACAGGAAGATGAGACTGTCGGGCATGTCCTGTGCGAGTGCCCGAAGTTGGCCTACACCTGCCAATATAAAGAAGTGACCTGTCCACCTTCCTGGAAAGAACAGGATGGACGATGTCCTAGGAGGACAACTCTTCGGGAGGATGTACAATGGGTAACATGTGGCCTAAGTACTGTGGGCTTACCCTCCCTACTACAGATACAGAGATACACGAAAGAATAATTCTTTCGATATAAATACTTTTATGCGAACACTGAATCATACAAAAACACTACTCTCTACTCAGTTTACATTCCAAACATTCCTTATGGAATTAATTCAGATAACATTCTCAGGATTTCTACACAATAAATGGAATGAACGTTTGTTTGAAGGTGATTGACAATGTTTCATGATGAATTTCATTAGTTCGGACTTCCATTGTCTGATATTATATGAAATGATTTGAAATCCCTGAAAGAAATAATAAAGAAGAAATAAAAATTGAAGAAGAAGACGACGAAGACGATTGTGGATACTAACAATCGAAAAGTTGTTAAGTAACTTGTCTTGGAATCTCTTAACCGTTATAATTTCATTTTATTTTCTGTTCAGTTTGTTCCATTTTTACTTGTATTCCATTTCACTATTATTTCATTTGAGGTTTTTTGCTTAATATAATTGTTTTTTTCGGCTATTCATTTTTATTTTTCTTCTTTAATTTTTAGGTCTTCTTTTTCAGTTCTTTCAGGGATTTCAAATCATTTTATATAATATCAAACAATGGATGTCCAAACTGATGAAATTCACCAAATAAAATGAATGTAAGCGAAATTTTCACCTTTCATTAAGTATATTGTGTGAAAATCCTGTGAATGGTATCTGACTTAATTCCATAACGAATGTTTGGAATACAAAGTGAGTAGTGAAAAATGTTTCTTGTATAATTCATTGTTCATATAAAAGTATTCATATCGAATGAAGTTTTCTTTCGTGTAATTCATGTTTATAAGAAAATACGTATTTCAGGAAGGTTTTTTTATTCCAGTTTTTGTCTTCTTTGCATGATCTATACATCTATGTATAGAGTTACTTCTTTAAAAATTAGTTGCTTTCTCCCTTGTTTTGGTAGATTCCCACATATTTTATATTAAGATGGAGTAGTAGAAAGCCAAAAACTTACTTTCCCAAAAAAGTTATATGAATGATTTTCTATTCATATCGAACATCTGTTACAGGTTCTGTGGACCTAAAAAATGTTGCCTCACTACATTTTCAGTAGTGTTTCGTAGATCATCAATGAGATTCAAAGGGAAATTCAAACTGGCCAATTCACAAACTCTATATGAACTTCATTCATTCAGGCAAAGTTTTATCGCGTACTAACCAATCAATGGATGAAAATACATTTCAAGTATAAATCCCTCAAATATCAACTGCCTGCAACTGTTCATTATGTCACATCTAAAAATTCGATTATTGCAAACAAAATATCTTTACTCTGCAAATGTAATATTTTCTCTCGAAAATAACGTCACAAATATAGCGGTTGTATATACACTTCAGATGTCGCATATTACCTCAAAACGATCTAGTGGCCATATCAGGTGATATAGTGGAATCACTCACTTTCGCCTGTCTTCTGGTTCTGATAAAAAATAGTCAAAGCCGAACAAGTTTTCAACTAATATTAGGTTTCAGCAAGATGGAGTACCACTTGATTACGACAAGCTGGTTCAAATTAGGGTTGGTTAGGTTAGGTTAGGTTGGGTTGTCGTTTGTGGGACGATTATAGTCTAGTTGTTCACATGTACTTTTTTTGTAACATTTTTCAGTTCTGTCCAAAAATTACGACCAAGGTGTCATTCGATTTGTATTTTTGCCTAGAATGTTTGCCGGCTACTATTGAATTGACTGGAATATAATTTCGTGAAAGAACAAAAATTAAAAAATATTTTCTTGTATTTCTAAACCCTTGAAATATTTCGTGAACCGTTAGTTGATTCATTTTTTGATATTGGGATTGTTTCAGAAGAATGAGTCAAATCATTTCGGGATTTCAAAACTAATGGTGTTCCATTTGAAAAATCACTGATTTTGATATCTTCAGAATTACTCATCGTAATGGTACAATTTTTAAATTCCCGACGAATGGTTTTCCCGAAGAATCTTGTTTCTTAAAAATCTAAAATCTTACCCAGCATGAACCACAGGAGGACTGATCCTTGATTACTCTGATAATATTGCAGTTAGGCCAGTTTTGACGAGAGTCGAAAGATTCAGGAATTGGAGTATCTTCGCTGTGTAAAACAACATTCCTGGCAGATCTGGGTACCGATGATTTGACAGCTCCAAGTAAACTACGAATGTGAGACCTCGGAGTGTTTTTATCAAAATTTCTGCCCGCAGTCCAAGTAGTTTGTTGGCTGTTTATGTAATCTATGAACTCATCGCTGAAGGGATTTGAGTCTATTCCATATGAAACAGCCCCAGAAATGGCGACAACAACAAAACAGAAGGCTATCCTCATACTGAATACTCCTGTAGATGGAAAAGAAATCAAAACGTTGTTGACAAACATATCACTACATCAAATCAGTAACATCTTTTATATCAAGGATTATTCGAATAATCGTTAATGTAACCAAAACTTCCCAAAACCATCATACAGTGTGTCCGCAAAGTACGGAATAAATTTGATATTTCCAAAACCATCGGTATTTTTTAAATGCAACATCCTATATTTGGTGTCAGTTTCCGATATCTAATCCGTAACGAGCTGATTCCGAAAAGGTATGATACTTGGGGTCTAACGGACAGAATTTGAAATATGCGCTTAGAAAATAAATTTCATTGATATCCAATAAAAGCAGAAATTAATTAATTTCTTCATATTTTTTCCAATGATTAATTTAGCTATGGAAAAGTAATTCAGTAATAAATACATGAGTTTATTTTAAATGTTCGAACTGTAGTCCTTGCTGTATTTGACAGTATCCTAAACGTTAAATAAATNTTCGGACCTTTCCTTAAACTTTCTAGGCAAAAATACGAATCGAATGACACCTTGGTCGTAATTTTTGGACAGGGCTGAAAAATGTCACCAAAAAGAGCTAAATCGAGTACATGTGAACCAGACTAGATAACAGATGTATGAACTTGTCTGATATCAAATAAATACATACCACTCTTATAACTCAGAAAATCTGTGAATACATCAAATGCAGCTTCAACGGGACCATTTTTCAAGATTTCCAATTGTATTTGTTTTTCTGAAGTACTAACATAATAAATGTGTTGTCCATATGATTTGTCAGATTCATACGAGAGGGAAGATTTTTCATCACACTGTTTATTGCATCTAGGAGTGGGAGAATAATATTTAGGACATGCAGGTTTGGAACCGGTTGTATGATGTTCGCATGGTGCCAAGGAATAAGCTCTGCATCCCTAGAACATTAAATTAAATAAAATATAGAATGGATAAACATAATAAGATTGAATTTTGGTATCGTGTGATAAAAATCTTTGATGGAATATTGACTGAATTCCCATCATGGATGGACTGACCCATTACATGATGGGTAACACAATAGTAACGCAATTTTCACAAACAATTTCATTTCTAGACGCGTTTATACTGATACATTAGCTTCCTTGATGGAAATGAATGCATTCTACCAAGGAAGCTACGGTATTAGCGAAACACATATAGAAATTTTAAGTGAAAATTGTGTAATTTTTATCACGGATGAACTTTGGGCATTCATGTCATTTTTGGTATTCAAGCGTTTTCATTTCTATAAAATCAATTGCATCTATCATTAAACTAAAAATCAGTGGGAGACTCATCCATTCTGCCAGTAGTACTTCAGTATATTGTTTTATGTATATTTCAGAATGAAGAATATGAATTACAATCAATATAAAAGCTATCATCATCGATAAACCATTAGTCAACCGAGTGGTAATTCTGAAAATATAAGAATAATCGTTTCAAAATACCACAGTGATATTAAACTGAGGAATTATGAGTTACTGAAATGAAAATTCCTTTCAGTTACTAGCAAGTTGAATAAATTCATATAAGTATAGAAACTTTACACTTCTAAATATGTTCCTCCTTTTTTATAATGAAGNGTATAATGAAAAATTCATATTGTTTGCACATCTTCATGAAAAGATTGCACTGGTGTAGCTTTTTGTATATTTTTTTTGAAGTTCCCCGATTTCTCCATAATTCTCCATGATGACGAAGAAATTAAAAGCTAAAACAGATTTTTTCCAAGAACTAATCTTCCCCAAATGTTATTGAAACACGTATAATCATTAACGAAATACATTTTCCATACTTTCTCAAGTAGTAAATCTGATTCTGGAGGAAAATGGGAATGAATATTTCAGAACTAGATTCCGAAGAAATCTCTTCGAAAGTAAAAATTCCTCCACAGGAATGGAACCTCGAAATGAACAATGTAGAATTCAGCAAATTTTACTCCAGTTCTCATTTCATCATCAAATACCATCATCAAATATCAAAAAAAGTAAAATAATGTCATGCATGGAGAAAAAAGTTATAAGTAAAGGATGGAGGTGAATAACGATCAATGAAATAGAAGAGAAATATTCGTTTTATAAACAACTTAATACGAATTTTCATTAGTTCGGACTTCCTTCGTCTAATATTATATAAAATGATTCGAAATCCCTAGAATGATCAATACAAATGAAAAATCAAATACAATAGCTGAAAAATAACAATTATATCGAGCAGGTTGGCTGTCCTTGTTCATCTTTCACTGCCTGAACCACTGTGCATGCTGTTTTCGGCGAGTGCATTGGCTTGAGATGTGGAGGTTGAGCAAACCGTTCATCGGATGCCCGCTTCCACGTAGCCCCTCTGGATACGGGAATGACAGAATCACTTGTGGTTCTGTTAATCTTCAACTGAATGGCATCCCAACGATGGCTTGATCCTAAGGTGTGTGTATCCGTGCCGAGAGGATGACTGACACTGAGCCTATCAGCTGTCTGTACGGAACCTTCGAGATACCGGGCGCCCTCTCGTCGTAGCATCGCCTTGTCACGGTAATACGGGGCTCTGTCGTGATTGACCTTCTTTCCTTTGCTAGTCGTGGGACTTTTATGGACAGAGTAAAAATTATTTCTGACGCTGAGACTATTCAGGAGATGGATGTCGAACTTACGGCTCCAACTGACCTCCCTGTGAACTTAATTCAGGAGCGAGTCTGCAGAGGAGATGGATGTCGAGTTAACGACTCTAACTGACCTCCCTGTAAATTCAGTTCAGGAGCGAGTCTACAGAGGAGATGGATGTCGAGTTTACGACTCCAACTGACCTCCCTATAAATTTGATTCCGGAGCGGATCTACAGAGGACATGGATGTCGAGTTTATAACTTCAACGGACCTCCCTGTCAATTTAGTTCAGGAGTGAGTCTACGGAGCAAATGGATGTCGAGTTTACGACTCCAACTGACCTCCCTGTAAATTCTTTCTGACGCTGAGTCCATAGAGGAGATGGATGTCGAGTTTACGACTATAGCTGACCTCCCTGTAATTTTTTTTCAGGAGCGAGAGCTTCTCAACTCCCTAATCCTGATCCAACAACTGAACCTTGAAAAAAAAAGGTTTGGTGGTACAGCCGGGAAACGACTAAGTCATCTCCTCAAGAGCGAGGTACCTTATAAAATCACCTTGCACCAAATTTTCGAGCGGCGTACGCAGAATCTGTCTCAGGTGGGGAACAAACCTCCCATGAGCACGTTAGCAAAAGTTTGCGCTCAAGTGATGATTCACCAAAAATAGAGGCGAAAAAGTCCTTCACGGCTGAATCTAAGGCATCGTCAGTTGTAGCTGACGTGCAAAAACCCTCATATGGGTTTGTCATAGGTATCAAGGTGGGAATCTTGCAACTTGACTATCCGACTACCTCATTAACAGAGCATATGCTTCATGCCTGCCCCGCTGGGGACCGAATTAGGTATTTAGTGTTCAGCAGAGGCGTACTCTTACCATCTGACCTGAAAGATCACCAATCATACAAACTAATCGGCTTCGTTAAGAAGCTGGATTCATTTAGTCGAGTGTGAATAGGTGTGAGCCATAATGAACCCTTGCGGGTTGCGGTGGAGGGTCGAATAAACCCACTCACTTTGGATCTAACCTAACCTAAGCGAAAAAACCGGGAAACGAAATTGCAGAGAAATAAAATACAAGTAGAAAATAGGACAATTAAACAAAAAATAAAAATTTATAGATTACAAGCCAAGTTATTTCACGACGTTTCTATTGTTAGTATCCACAATCGTCTCAGGTTGATGACTGGACTAATTCCTCTGAGAGATGAGTATTTATGGGTTAGTTTTTCATTTGTATTGGTTCTTTTAGGGATTTCAAATCATTTTATATACTATTAGACAATGAAAGTCTGAACTAATGCAATTCATCATGAAACATTGTTAATCACCTGCAAACAAACTTAATACGAGTATTTGCGAACGATTGAGGATTTCCAAAATATATTCGATCATTTTCCGAACAATTACTATATATAACAATTACCTTCCTTTCGCAAAATATTCAACTTACACCAACTTTCACCAATGAAATTTTCAAATTGTCCGAATTCAATCCTGAATTATGAAAACAGCAAACAGATACACGACAGGGATTGTAGTTGATTATAGTAAATACCGCCTTCATTCATAGGTGTATATATGATGTTTGAGAATAATTCACTTATATCCCTATAGAGTGCTTACGTACAGGTTTCATCATTCAGGATCAAATTCAATACGTTCGAACGACTATGCCGCCTAACATACATATGGTATAGCAATAATGACAATGATGATGAGTAAGGCTGTGCTCTTTACGAAAAGTTCATGATTTGAATGAATACCTATATGGAAATGAGTTTCACGATGAAAATTCTGATAATGTATTTTTGTAATAAGCTGTTACGTTTTTCCGTGTTAGGAATCACACGTTGAAAATTGAGACATCGTTAATCCTCAGCTCGCACAATTGTCTACTAATGAGGGTTGTCGTTCGTAAGGGTGCGACAGCTGATTCACGGAAAAACAGATTTTCAAACAGAATAAACAGTGGGTTTGCCAATAATTGACTACATTCTACAATTAAACCCAACTTCATTTCGCTAAAACACTGATAACAGAACCAAACACTTTCTATCGCCTTAGAAGAACACTCCACACCGCACTGTCTGATAGACTTTTCCATATGCAACTGGGTAGTGTTTAGGTAGTGTGAATTATTCCCCAAAAGAATAATCACGCCGGCTACCGCTGTTCGTTGTGAACCAATTGTGAAGTTGCCAATACCTCGTTGAACTGGGCGCTTTGCGATTGATCTAGAAGTCGCATGACTTCGAGAATGATTCTACTAGCTTCATAAGACCTCCATTATCATATATAAATACTGCTCATTCGCATATCGAGGAGTCCAGTGAACAGTGAGGTGCGACGTGTTCTGATAAGACGATAGACGTTTGAATATCAGTTTGAAGTGTTTGGTTGTATTATCATTCTGGCAACGAGATAAAGTTGAGTTCAACTGAGCAGTGTTATCAATTATTGACAAACCCACGGAAAAAACGTGACAATACTGTATTTGATTACTCGTAGTGTTTCAGTGTGAGCTGAAGAGCCAAATTGTTGTATATTTGATTTATATAAAAATGAATGATGAATCAAATGTTGTTATCATTATTACCGTCGTCGAATTATAAGGACCGCCTGAAACAAGACCTCTTTCCTGCCAATAAGTCCACGCTTCAATAGGGATTCCTCCATAACATCCATCACCGCATTCTGAACAACATGATACCAAGTCTTCGTCTGAAACGGATATTTGTTTTTTCCCGTTTGAATGAATGCAAATCCTGTCACTCATTGCGGAAGTTGCTGCAACAGCCTGCAAAATAAATATTTTTCTGAGATATTTTATTAGTGAACGAATTGGACTTCTTATTGGAAATCAATCAATCCATTTGGTCGTAAATGGATTTTCTCCTTTTATCTGCAAATGATATCCAGAGTTTTTATGCCATTATTATAAACATTGTAATGTGAATAAACTATTATTTTTTTTACCGAAGTATGCGCTGGTCAGGCCCTATCCCCCGAAGCACCGATACATTCGGGAGAACGCGCCAGCATTATCAACTAACAACCACTCCCCACGACGTGGAGTAAGTGATCATTGGACCCGAAAATCATGTGCCCTGAGCAAGTGCAGTGCGCCAAGAATGCGTTGGTACGGCAAGCCGGTATGATTTTAAGATTCAAGAGTAGGAAGGGCATCATTCCACCAAGGACTCCAATTAATCAGAATAATCATCCTGACAGAGTGATCTGCGGAGTTCGAAAAAAAATCTCGATATTTCATCCGTTTATTCTCCTCTTTTCTGGCGATATTTGTCTCACCAGGAGTTGAAAATTCCACGACAATATCGTTCTGCTCTGGTAGTCGAGAAGGACTACATCAGGCTTATTAGCTCGTATGAGCCTGAGGGTGGGAAACGTATAGTTACAATAAATTCGGTACTTCTCGTTTCCCACAACGGATTCAATATCCCCCAGAGTGTAGGGCAACACCTATATGTCGTTAATACCGTAAGAGTGCCGTAGATGGTAATATAGCACTCTTAGGGCCGCGTTATGTCGATGGATATAGGCCGAAACCGCATATGCTGGACATGCTGATAGCAAGTGCATTAGGGTCTCAGGTGCCTCCCGGCAGGCCCTGCACTTTGTATCAGAAACCGCTATACCCATCACGTGACTGCGGTAGACTAAGGTGTTGGAGACACCATCCTGGCAAGTCATATGATGAACCCCTCAGTTTTCGACTTCAGCCCACTCGACCTAAGAAAAACGAATGTCAGGCGTGAGATGATCTCTGCGGATTTTATCTGAGCTTTTTGCTGAGCGGGTTTCAACTCGGTGATAGATTTGTGGTCACCCCGTTCAGTGTCGAAAACTATACCGAGTTCATCAGCTGCTCGGGCAGATACCCTAAAGAGAAATGTTTCAATTCCTGCTCTATCATGGTCAAGGACCATGCAGAGAAGGGGATCCGAACTCCTGATGACTTTCCAGGCCGTATCCAGTACCATTCTGTTATGTAGACATTCCAAACTCAAAAGTCTACGGCCTCCCTATTGTCGGGGGAAGTACAACCGTGGAACGGACGATTTGGGATGCGAGCTGCTATAGAGATGCATCATTTTGCGGGTCTTTACGTCGAGTTGACACAGCTCCTCCCGAGTCCACTTCACTACTCCAAACGAGTAGAGTTAGATTGGAATGACGAGCATATTAGTTGCAGCAACTTTGTTCTTCCCCGAACTGTCGGGGAAGAACAAAGTTCCGATGACCAGATCTGTCGAAATTTGTGCTGCTACTTGCCGCGGAGAGAGTTTTTCACTGCTGTTACCTCTTGTGAGTGGCGTTGTTCCATCCCGAGGTAAGTTTACGTCTCTCCAGCATCCGAATCCTGTGGCATTTGTAATGAAAAGCGTTTCAATTCTTCATACAATAACTAACTTTTTCGGATTTCAATAACCGTTTGCAGTTGATTTTTTGATTTGGAACTAGAACTCCGCCAATACATGTCAGATTTTTTTCAAATAAATATTCATTCGAAAGAAAACTAAAATAATTACATTTTTTGCATACGACTGTTGATTTCAAGGGCACAAAGCGATAGTATTTCATTTATTCCTAATTATTATTTGCCTTATACAAAAGAACAACAATTGATTGATTGAAGACACTTTCCGATTTCCAACTACCAATTACTGTCATTGCAATGCCTCATTTCAATAACTCTCCTTCAAGAATAAGCATTCATTGTACTGTAGATAATTTAGAATCTATGTGAGAGTGAGAAGGCAAAGGTTTGTTATAGTATACAGAAAAAACCCATTCGTGGTAATGGGAAATTGTGAAATATCTTGAATCTGCGGTGGCTTCTGGATCATTAGTACAAACTAAAGGAAAAGATGCATCGAAATCATTCAAATTGGCATCGGCATCTTCTGGTTCGGCAAAACCGTCGAATACCGAAAAGAAAACGTCCGGTACGGCCGATGCGAAGGCCAAAAAAACTCCCGTTGAACGCGTAGCTGGTGAAAAAGCTAAAACCGACAAGAAGACTGCTGCATCGCCGAAAGGTAAGAAAGCCTCTCCGAAAAAGAAAGCGCTTGCCGCTGCGGCCAATACTAAAAAGGCAACTGCCGAGGATAAAAAGACCATCGCTTCTAAGGTTTCGTCCGCGACTTCTGCTAGTAAAACCAAGTCTCCTTCGAAAGCATAAGATTCTTGTTCAATAATTCAAGAACCGTATGTTCTAGGGGATACATCATTTTTTATATGTCGATGATTCCTGTTACAAGGGTGTGACAGGGTGAAACTGATTTTTACCAGTGTACTGTCTTTTTCTGAAATTTAACAAGGTGACTGATGACTAGATGAGATAAAAAACCTCAACACAGAACTGCAAAGTAGGAGATCCAGAGAAGGAGTACATGTACCAAGCCACAAACTATCCTAGGAGGTTTCTGGAAACAGGGAAAATTCAGGTGAGCATTGAAATCATATATCCAGTGTATGCTTCAATTCTAACTGAGAATTTCCTGTTCCTGCTAGGCAGCTATGACAAGTGTCGTTTTTAAAATTCAGGAAACTATGTTACTTTTTACAATTTAGGTAACTTTCATTGAGAGAATGTTGAATTTTACGTTTAATTATTGTTATCAGTCTTTTTTAGTACCTGTCAGGCCAGGTACCGTACGGCAAATTGTACACAATTATGAGTAGTTTGAGAAATAATTATATCGATTCAGTATTTTGAAGTCATTCAATTCAGAATTTGAGTAAATTAATTCAGTATTTCAAACTTTTGTTCATTCATACTGAGCAATGAATTATTAAATGAATTTTAGGGTTGACACGTGTTAATTACATGTAAGGCTAGCTTAGTAATGATGAGTACTACTTACATGTAGTACATTAAGTACAGCTACCGGACTGAGTCATGGCCGGAGGGAGAAATCGTATCTGTGCAAAGTTTGGGTCGGTGAATGACAAAGAAAGGATTAGGAAAAAAGGAATAGAAAATTTTGTTAGCAATTTTACGCAGTACGGCTCGAATAATCTAACAATCTGATAACATATTTCTACACATCTAATGCATATCTTGAGGGAGGGGCTTCTCACCGGCAGCTGTATTATCAATGATTTTTTCATCAGTTCGGACTTCCATTGTCTGATATAATATAAATCGATTTGAAATCCCCGAAAAAAATTAAAAAGATTAATCGAAAATAACAATTTTATCAAACAAAAAACTGAAATTACAAATAAATAACATACAAGCAACAACAAAAAAAATAAAAATTGAAATATTAATAAAAGCTGAAAATTAAAAAATATTATTAACAAAAAATGAAAAAATAAAAATTAAAGCCGTCACAATCAGTTCTTGTCCTTTCCGACATTAGAGGATTGTCGGACAGGATGAGAAGAACTGGGTCCAAGTACAACATCAGAACCTGCTTCGAATCTGGAAACACCATCCAAACCAGCCTCACGAAAACCAGACCACCAGATGCGGAATGCGTTCCAGAAATTTCCATCTATTACGTTTTTTTTGTATATATTTCCAATATATATTGGGATATATATGAAATTAAGCTCGTTCTCCGCGTATTCTCCTTGCTAACTGAATGTCTTTGGGCATAATGGTAACGCGCTTGGCGTGAATGGCGCACAAATTCGTATCTTCGAAGAGTCCTACCAAATACGCCTCGCTAGCTTCTTGCAAAGTCATGACGGCTGAACTTTGGAATCGTAAATCGGTTTTGAAATCTTGAGCGATTTCTCGAACTAAACGTTGAAAGGGTAATTTCCTAATCCATCTATTCCCTCTTCCCTCTCTCCGCTTCATTGGTTTTAGCGGGAGATGTCCGTTTGGCGGGAGTTGGTCGTTTTTCGCTTGATTAGAGGTTTCCATATGTTACGTATCTCTATGCTAGCTTGACTAAATGCGTTGTTGGGCAACATATATACCGCTTCTTTGAATTCTCTCCTAAACCAATGTTTCCCTTTGTGGATGATTTCAGCTTGAGCCCACTTGATGTTATGTTGATGAGTCCAAACATGCTCTGCTATTCAGGATTTGCTGGTTTATCCTCGCTGTGTGTGTTTCTTGTGCTCAGCAATGCGAACTTTCAATGGCGGAGAATGATACATCGGTGAAACTAAGAGGCCATTGAAAGTTCGCATTGCTGAGCACTAGAAACACACACAGCGAGGAGAAACCAGCAAATCCGGAATAGCAGAGCATGTTTGGACTTATTAACATAACATCAAGTGGGCTCAATCTAAAATCATCCACAAAGAGGAACATTGGTTTAGGAGAAAATTCAAAGAAGCCGCGTATATGTTGTACAACAACGCATTTAGTCAAGCTAGCGTAGATAGCTCAGTCTGGTAGCTCATGCAGCTCTCTCTCTCTCAAGGTAGAATTCTTGAAAAGGGTTTTTCAAAAATTTTGTGTCTCTTAACTTTTATGAAAAATGAAAATTTTGCTTCAAAGTTTCAAATTTATAATAAATATAACAAATTCAGTAAATGGTTTACAAGACAAACTTAAACTTAACCTAAACTGCGCCAGATAACTTATCCTATATAAATATTCAAATAAATATCCAAGGTGTAGTAAATGTTCTTAGAATATGTTCTGTGATGTTATAATACCTTCATACGTAGCAATAGGCACAAACAAAATTTTTGAATTTCCGTACTTTTCACTATTCTCACTGCTTATATTTATGAACTATGTTACCCAATATACAATAATAATAATGATTAACTTTTATCACCTTTCTGTACATTCTGTTTTCAATTTGTATAATTTCGAATTCAAAATTCTTCATGTTCAAATTGTTGACACCTCCTTTCCAATTCATTCATCTGATTGGCTACTCTTTAGTTGCCCCTAAATCATGTACTGAGTGTTCTAATTATTTTTCAAATAACAAATCCTTGTATCAGTGTTAACTAACTTTTTTCTTACAAATTTGTAATTTAAATCTATTCCATTATATTCTATTATGTTTTATTAATTTATTTACTGTTTTCAGTGTACTTTTCCTGTTGATTGATGGTTTTCGGTTAGTTACGCTGTTTGGAAATAATTTGAAATACACTAATACTGAAATGTAATAACTTGGATTATAAAAATTGGAACTTGAATCAAGGTAAAGTATCTGGCCTTTTAATAATAATGAACATCGAAGAATGAAACTTTGACTTCCCAAAACTTCCAACATTGAACTAAGAAAAATCAAAACTTTCAACAAAAACCTATCATAACAATATCTATCATAACACCTATCATAACAATAACCTATCATACATATATCACATTTTTCATCACACTTTGTATATTTATGTATCTATATATCCATCTTCCATACATATTATCGTTTTAATAAATTAAGTTGTTCCTTTTCTAAAGATTTTTCCGATTGGTGCTGGATTAAGTAACATGGAAGGTAAGGGCGATTTTCTTCAGCGGTCTATTCGAGACTTTACAACGAACTTCTTGAGATCCTTACTTATCTTTGATAGAGTATAGTTTCAATTTTTTGGTAATACCATTGACGATGTCATCGCTATTATCAATAGAAACCTCTCGGCTCATCCTGTGTCTGGTGAAGTTTTTATTGTTCTACCAGGATTTGGAAACACCATACCGGCGAATCTATTTCCACAAAGAAATTTACTCTTCCATTCGAACGAAATATTAATGAAATTACTTCAGTTCAGTCCCACCATGTGGCTCTCAGAAAGCTTTTCCGTAATTACTTCGAGCCGTGAAAACTTCGATCTATTATATATTGTATTTCGAAAAATTACATAACCCGAACGGAAAGTGTAGTGAAAACATAAATATAACGGAAAGTGTAGTGATATTACACCAGTAAATCAATAGTTCAATTTATTTGCTGGACAGTTGGAGATGAATGTGTCGGAGTTGCAGTAATTCAGTTGCACAAACAGTTGAATCGCTTTCAATTCCGACAAGGTATAAGATGAAGTATGTTCTTGGCGGTTTCAATTGATAAATTCTAATCGGGTATAATCGATTATACTAACCTGAATTCTGTAACTATGATTTGGTGCCCTCAATAGGTAGGAAAGCATATTGGAAACAATTCATAATGATTCACTCGTATTTCTGGGATACAAAAATAATGGAATATATTTATATACTGTTTGCAATTTACTTTTGCGAAAGTTTATTGACATTAGTCAATTGAATTAGACTTGGTATTTTCCTAAAAAATCTTAGGTATCTTGAACAGAAACGCTGAGGTCAGAAGAGCATAAATTGGGTAAATCCCCCAGAGGATGTTCTACTCCATACTTTGATTAGAGTCCCAATTCCAGGAGTTAACACGATCAGATACTGTGAAGACACAGGATCTATAATGCACGGAGCAACTAACTTTGTTAGTATTTGGTCGTTCCTGAAAACCAATTCCGAACTACCGTAACGATAAATCACTAGTCAGCCGAAGATAAAAAGAGTTATATTGCAAAAGTTGACACTGATTAGAGAATGCGAAGAATTGTAAGGTTTCTGAACGAGTTCCATTTGCAATTTGGTATAAGGTAGAAGTAAAAGAGGAATGAGAATGATAACTCAATAAATACGTAGGGGCGAACTTCATTAGTGTATTGGTTTTCTGCTGTAATGAGGTTTCTGCAACAGCTTCGAAATCCTTGAAATTCAACCAATAATGTCAAGGGTAATGTGGAAAACTTTCACAGACTAAAAAATGTTGGGCATTCGTTCGAGAAATTCAAACCAATGTAGATAAAACTGTAGAAATACGCCAAGGATTGGGAACATGTTTGTTGAATCCAAGAGATAAGGATAATATTTTAAAGGATAATTGAATAGAAGTAACCGATACTTGACGAAAATTTATGTATATTAAAAACTAATTAATACAGTTTATTGTATGATTTTCACTATAAAAGGTTTTACAAAATCTGAGTACAAAAGCTATACAATAGCTCAAGCATAAACTAAAAGTTACTTCTAAATTACAACTATTTCATACTCTAACCTATTACCTAATCGTCTGCCAAATGAATGAATCTACCTGAAAAGATCAGGTATGCATTCATTAAGTATATCAATGCATTTTCGAAAGTACCGTAAATATACCTAACTATTTTTTTCTGAAAATGAACAGATTCAATAATGGCGAATTATTCAATTCAGTTTGATCGTTCATG